AAAAAGAAACTCACTTTTTCTGCCTCTTTTTCTTCCTTGTCTCTGAGGTTCTTCTGGTGTTTCTCCCAGGATACTCTATAGTTGACATCTTCCATGAGTTTCTTTGTGTTCTCTTTCTCCGAACGGAGGTCCTCTAGGATCGTATTTGGCGGGATAATCACCTAAAAAGTGTTTGGAAAACAGGGACCAGTCCACCATAAATGAAACTAAGCGGACAGTTTGAGAAAATGGAAAGAACGTAATGAAAGAGTTCTGAATATTCAGTTTTTCGGAGAGCTCACCTTGGTGTACTGCTCTACAAGCTTTGTGAAGTAGGCAAAGTTTGAATGCTGGGGCTTTAGAAAATCAAACTGGAAGTTGCGAGCCTCTCGGGTCATAAGCTGAGTGAGAAACTGACGACCGTTTCGAGCGACAAACAACGCAGTCATTTTAATCAAATCACTGAAAGAGGAACGATGAAAGCGTTGTTTTGCGCAGGCTAACTCGCCGGTAGTTTTTGACGGAGTTCCGTAGTCAAAAGAGAGGCTTTGGCAGAAACACAACGCCTGTACATATAAAAATATATGAACTCACAGATCGTAAGCGTTAATTGTTGCAGGATCAGCACAGAACTCGAAAGGCGGTGGAGGTTTTGTCGGAGCGAAATCTGCCTTTTTCACGGCATCTTTGACGGCTTCAGGAAGCTGAGGCTTTGTCGCAGCAGATGCAGCCTCAACTTTTCCCTCTTGAAAATCTCTGACCTAAACAGAAAAATATTTACAATACTGTCTATTTGCATTTAAAGACGATTACAAGCACAAAGGGGCCTTTGATCTTGACCATAACCGCATTTTGCGAAAAAAAAANAAAAAAAAACGCAAAGAATGAGTTGAAAAACCTTCTGCTTGTAGTACGCATTGTACGGATCCGTTGGACTAAGGAAGTTGAAACGTTTGTTGTTTGCTTCCTTTTCGCGAATCTTGTTTTCGAAATCGACTCCATTTCGTGCCACGAATGCAGCAGTTTTGTCAACAATGGCTAAATTCAATTTTATATAAAATAACTGTCATTTTTTATCTAGTTTAACCCAATAGTGGCTAGCAATTGTACTTTCAGCCATATTTATTGAATATGAAAAAAACTAATCAATTACTTCGAATATCCGGAGGAGGATATATAAGCCCAATTATAGCACGTCCACTGAGCGACGGCTCATTATTCATGGAATCTTCCTCGCGATGTGATACCACCGTTACTGCTGTAGGTGGCATTTTCCCTACAAAATAGCAAAATACAACAGCTCTTTTAGTTTTGGTGGATGCATTCGACCATACGAAGGCGAAAATGGTAAAAAGAGTCTAATAAATTCATGTACTAAATGAGTATGTAAACAGCTTACGAATTCTACCTGGAATATGCTTCCTTTTATATGATGGCCGTTATTCCATATACAATGCCATGGATAAGGTTTCGGAACTATCAAACGCTAATTTCTTGCCAGTTCTAATTTTTTTTGCAATGGCATACAACTAAAAGTCTAATTGGCGGGAGGAAAGATCTAAAACCCTCCACATTGAAATCATTTCCGTAGAACTAATTTTTGTTAGTCTATAAGCTGCTCTGTAAATCCTGTAAGATTGGCCTTTCGAGAATCACAGAATGGCTTCCAAGTAAGAAAGTGAAAAAAGACTGAAAGACAATTTTACACGGTTTCTTACCTCTATTCGTAAACGGTGTAGTCGATTCGTGTATAATGCAACTAATTCAGTAGTTTTCTCATTCTATTTCGCAGTCATCTTCGTATTTCTGTACCCTACTTTGTAATCATTACTAAGCAATTTGTAAACCGGACCACTTTAGCTATAGAGCTCTTCAACTCTTTTAAAAGTAAAGGTACCCCTATTTACTAGACATTGAAGAACCGATCTTATCCATAACCGAGGAAATCAGAAACAGGTCATCAAGGAACTGGCAAAAGCGTGTTGATGGCATCCATTTGGCTATTGGCTTTGGCGATGGTGGATCGCCCTCTGATTTGTCACGGTAGAGCTCATGTAGATGTTCGTCATCAGTATAGCCCTGACGCTTTGTACGGCTGGGACAGCCGCACATTACGAAAGTTACGAAATTGAAAATAGCATTCACGAAATTAGTTACAAGGCTCATGGATTGGGGTTCAGCATTACAAACTTGACTATAAAATCAATCAAATAGAACAGGAAAACCACGAAATCATGTAAAATGGCATATGCACGAAATTGATTGTAACGACTATGTAAGGAGGTGGAAAAGGAAAAAAGAAAAGAAGAAAGCTAATATCTGTATGGGCTAGAGTGCGCCAGACGAGGGCAGAAAAATGACACACGCGGCCAAATTTAAAGGACCTGAGTTCAAGCAGTCCGTAGACCGGAGCTTCCTCAAATTCATCTGAACGTATGACAGCATCTCCGAAAATATTCACAAAAATACCAATTAGAATATAAAATTACGAAAGCAAGGGACCTGAACTAAGGCGAAGCACAGACCAAAATAAAACAGACGTGAAGTGAAGCGTGGTGAGTGCAATACACACAATCTTTACGCCAATTTTTCGAATACCCTCGGAACTGCTTCTGGTTTNAATTGATTGTAACGACTACGTAAGGAGGTGGAAAAGGAAAAAAGAAAAGAAGAAAGCTAATATCTGTATGGGCTAGAGTGCGCCAGACGAGGGCAGAAAAATGATGCACGCGGCCAAATTTAAAGGACCCGAGTTCAAGCAGTCCGTAGACCGGAGGTTCCTCAAATTCATCTGAACGTATGACAGCATCTCCGAAAATATTCACAAAAATACCAATTAGAATATAAAATTACGAAAGCAAGGGACTCGAACTCAGGCGAAGCACAAACCGATCGTTAAATTCGTCAAAAATAAAACAGACGTGAAGTGAAGGGTGGTGAGTGCAATACACACAATCTTTACGCCAATTTTTCGAATACCCTCGGAACTGCTTCTGGTTTGCTGTCTTACTCGCTTGGTCCTCGCCCATTTGAAGCAAATACTCGCTCTTCAGATGCTCAATTGTCGGGTAGCACCTCGAATATACTCACGGTTGTCGCTTTGTGCTCGTATTGTTTCTGTGGAGCGGCCTGATTTGCTTCCCTTTTCAACGACAACTAAACGAAAACTCAGGTATGAGGGTAGCCCTGTTATTTAGGCGGAGTAGTTTGAGCATTCAGAGGAAGGGGGACCGATTCCAAAGTTTATGGTAATCAGGAAACCCTCACCCAAGTCGTTAGCTGTTTTCTCCCTCTCACGTATTGAAGCATAAGTCAAAACAACAAAATCGAATTCTCTGTCACACCCCAACATCTAAAATACTCTGCTGTTAGTGAATTCTGTTTTTTTCCTTTGTTCCTTTGCTTTATGATTTTTGTATAGCAAAAAGCCTGACGATGACAGCAAGAAACCTGACGATGACATGGCGAAGGAATTGGAACGGCTCAATGAAGAGTTGAAGAAGGACTTTGATTCGAAGTTAAAAAACAACGAAGAAGAAATCGATAAGAACTTCATGAACTTCAAAGCGAAATCCGAAGTTAGTTTTTCCCTGCTCCTCTCCCAAGCAATTCTAACAGGATTTTGTTGGAAGCTTTATCAATTTCCGAAAGTCTCAGATTTTCTTCTCCCATCGCGTTTCGGCCCTTATTCTAATCTCTCTTTCTTATTTTGTTAGCATTTTTAGCGTGATGCTTACCAACGAAGCAAAAGTATGTTCAGCTGGAAGGTGGCTGCTACAACGTTAGGAATTGGTGCATCCTGTCTGGCAGCACTTTTTTATATCCGTAAAATTGTGATTATTTTCTCACTGTCTATACTTCTTCCTCCCCTATGATATGTTACACATTATGATAGATTTCTAGAGACTTGAAGAACGCGAGAAGCATTTGAAATATTTGGCTGGAAAGGCACGAATTGGTGGCGATTGGGAGTTGGTCAATACTGAAGGTCGGTTGTGATTCTCTCGAGTTATTTCTCTGAGCCTGTTTTCCTTATTGTTGCATTTTCATCAAACTAGACTTCATAAATCGTTAGTTAGTTTTTTTTTTCAGGAAAATTGGAGGGATCAGAACAGTTAAAGGGAAATTGGCTGCTCTTATACTTCGGCTTCACGCACTGCCCAGATATTTGTCCAGACGAGATAGAGAAAATGGTCAAGGCACGTCGATTTTTTCGTTAGCATCAATAACAGAAGTGGGAAAGACTTTGTTTTGACTTGGTGTCCTGTTAACTGCTGATATATCGCTGCAGTGTCCTTGTCCTTCCCGGGAGCCGTGATCCTTTATACTACCGAGACCCCGCCTAAGAATGCGAGAGCAAGCGGGAAAGTCTTTTATTTCCATTCTCATTAAATGTTTTGGCACTCTATTGGCTATTGTTCTTCTGCAATGATGTTGCCTTGTGTTGTGTAAATAGAAGCTCTCAAAAACGTGCAAAAAGTGATAGATCTTGAGACTAGCTACCAGCTCTAGATAAATACCAGTCTCATGTTCTCGCTTTCACAACTCCCAGTTTGCTAGATTAGTGCACATACAAATTCTCTCGGATTTCACATTTTCGCCCTTCCTCTTTCTGCATGTGAACAACATCGTTTCTAATCTCCAGTTTTCCCTCGCCGATGCCGAGTGGACAAGCCCTTGATCCTCGCGAGCAATCTATATTCTTGTCATATCGGGTGGGATGTCGCATCCGCTTACGCTCATCACATATCAAATGCTTTTGACAAAAGTGTTCCCATCTATCCATTCGGAGCCCTGGCGGCTTGCGGATACCGGCTGAAGGTGCAAAACTGGCAGCACAATTCTAGAAATAAAGGTTTGTGCTCGGGAGCTAGAGCGCTAGTTGCAAGCTATAATAAGGAAAGTATAGAGGGAGAAGAAAACTCGATGCGGGAAGTGATCATCCTATATTCTATATCAATTGGAAAGCGTTGTTAAACTCAGTAGCATACCATATCGAAAAGGCGCAGTTGTAAGTGTTGTGGTTGGCTGATCATAGGTGATCCGAGAAACGTCGCATTAATAGAAGAAAGGTTTTTGTTGGGGGTGCTCTGTAAAGCTGTAAGGAAAGTTATATCGGGCAGTACTGAGGTACTGATTCTGCTGAGTGCTGTGATGGGATATGGCTGGCTGTGGACGGTTGGGCAAGGCCAGCAACGTGGACATCAAAACAATTTTGCTGCTATCCTACCGAAAGCACAGATGTAACTGCATTTTTCGGATGCGTACTGGTAAGGTCAAGGACCATCCATTGGGCTATCGAAGAAGGCGCTAAATTTTAGGCCTAGACCCACGTTTTTAGAGGCTTAAAAATTAGGAGGGGCATGATCAGGAAGATGTATATCAAACCATTCCAAAAATGTCTTAAACATTTAGTTGTTGCGATTTCCTCCAAAAGCATTGCAGTGTCGTGTAGAAAGCAGAGCTCTTTGTACTGCATCATCAGTGTTTTCTACACTTTCCACTTGCATTTGTTGCCAAAATTTCTTTTTAAAGGTTGTGGACATCCTCGATGCGAAACCAGATAAGGAGAAAACACCTATAAAGCCTATTTTTATATCTGTCGATCCGGAGCGCGATACAGTTCAGAGAGTGAAAGAATACTGTGCTGAGTTTTCACCAAAACTAAAAGGCTTCACTGGATCAGTAGAACAGGTTCGTAATTGATTACTATAGTAATTCGTCTCTGTTTCCGCATTTCATATTTCAGGTGAACAAAGTCGCGAAAACGTTTCGGGTATATCACAGCCAGGGGCCTCGTACTGGAAAAAATAAGGATGATTATATTGTTGATCATACTGTCATCACATATCTCATCGATCCTGATGGGCTCTTCCATGATTACTACGGTCAGACAAGAACAGCCGAAGAGATCGCCAATGTTATTGAAATGAAAATGCTCAAGTATCGTGCTCAGAACCGCAAAAATATTCTCGGATTTTAGTCGGGTACAGTTGTCAATTGTTATCTCCTGTTGCCATTTATGCTCATTTGTACTGGCAGTACTTAATACTTCCGCATTTATTCCTCGTTCCCAGTCATTGTATTCTGGTCTTCTCTCGGTACTTTTACCTATTTTGCATTGTTCATCACTGGCAGCTATCTCCACGCTGGTTGTGGAGGTTATTTTTGGCTCTTAGCGTTTTAGAAATGATAGCTCCTTGATGGATTTTTTTTTTGGATTGTCAGTCCCGATTATTCACGAACTCTCTTAGATATATTTTGTCATACCTCGCATCAAAAACGCTTGCTCTTTTTCAGATTGCATCAAGACTGGCTGGTCTGTTATAGAACTCAGAGGGGGTTGACTGAGCCTTTTGTCACTTTCATTTCAACCCAGTGTCTTTTTTGAAAAATATAGATTAGTTTAGAATTTTTCTTCTTTGGATGTGTGAATTATTGTTTCTGATGCAAGGAACCACTATAGTGATCTTGGTACGGGAAGGCCCATTTAGAGTTTTGGAGTGTTGCTTAGGTACTAATTAGATTATATATCGCATAAGTGCTTAGTTGACTGATGATTTGTAGTAGACTAGGTGTGTTGTTGATTTTCTATGTTGATTACATGTGTTGTTGGCTACTATGAAGATTCATATTCGTTAGATTCGCCTTTCCATATCGCTACCCAGTCGATTCATTCTTGATCGCGTTTATGTGGTTCTTCTTCGAGTAATAATCGCTAAACCTAGATGGCTACTCAACAACTTCCAAAATCGGAGTTCGTCGTCAGAGTACCAAAGTGAGTGGCTTGCGGAACTAGCTGCCCATTTTAAAAATTCTTTTAATTTTTTTCTCTTTGCGATTTGCTAACACTGTGAATTACACCTTTGTGTATTGCCCTGCAGCTCCTGCATGAAAATGATTCATATGAAGATGGTGAAGCGATATGATACAGTGTTTTTTGTCGTCATCTAAGGTTATTGTGGTTTGTGTGAAGGTTTGAATGCGATTGAACAAGGTGGGAATTGATCCAGGAGCAATTGTTGCTGCTTTGTTGTGTCATTTTTCAACACTACGCATTCATTCCTTCGCTGTTTTCAACCCAGGGGTCTTTGGTGGAAAAGGCTTTCGTTGTATCGGTGATCAAAGCAGCATACATATATCGTACTACCTTCCTCTTGACATCAAAGTCGAATATTGCTGCTAAGCTAAACTCTTCTATTGTGGTCCAGTGGATCTGAATTTGAGATTCAGGCAGTCCTGCGTTAACCCTACGGTTGTTGTCGGAAAGATGTGATTTGTTACAATGAAAATAAACCAAATCCTATGCTTGTGTTGTAAAGTCAGATAAGAGAATGATTTTTGAATCATAATAGAGGCAGAAGATTGTTGCGAGCAGTTGCCGTCCAATTATGGTCACGGAAAGAAGTAATTTTTTTCATCTTTTTGATTAGTATAATAGTTTTTGTATAACAGCAATGAAATGGCCAATTTAAAAGCCCTTTTCTATTTCTCAAGTTCATCGATAAAGGGATTCCTGATTACAGAAGAAACGAGAACAAGCGGTACTCTGTACTGAAATTCAACGGCATGGACAGAGTGGACACCTCGAAGTGGACCGTAGAGAGCATGGTTCACATGGAAAGGGAAGACAATAAAAATGTTACCCTCAGCACCCAGACTGTACAGGTGAGATCAATGCCTTATCAGGATTTATATTGGTATAAACCTTGATCTCAATATGATTTGCCAAGTCTAGAAACCGACTACGAATTCCTTTGATTGAATATTTATATCTCTTTTTTCATCTAAAATGTCTTGATCTTCAACTTCCCCCAATTTGGAAGTATTCAAATCCTCTTTCCAGGAGTATGGGGAGGGCTCCGAATACGGCAAAGCAGCTCGAGAGGAAGCTCGCCGGAAAAAGTATGGACGTCAAGCGAAGTCGTATAAGCTTGACAACCAACCATGGCATCTCTCTTTTGTGGAGCCAGGTGCTACTTTTTTCGTCATGGTTCCTTTCCTTTGAATTGCATGAGTTCCTTCTTCACACCTCTTATCCGATTCATTACTCTCATTTTATTTGAAAGATGGACGTACACGCAAAATGAAGAGCATACGAGAAGGCGGCGCTGGCGAACACGCCGATTATTGGGTGTTTCTGAAATCTGGTGAGGAGTTCTTGGCGTATAAGGTGAGTGATAATCAAACATCGAGGATATACTTGGTGTAATTTTGTAATTACGTTCTTCATTTCGAGTTTCAGTTGGGTTGTAGGTACTGCATTATTCTAGGTAGATGATTGGCACAAGTTTTTGCCTGCAATCACTCACAAAACACTAGATATCGATCAAGCTGAAGAGAAATTCCTTGAGTGAGTAATTTATTGTTTTTGGAAGGTGTTTTGGTGGTTGAAATGCTTCGAGTTGTATTCTCAACAGAAATTTTTTTGCGAGATGCTTGAATTTCGAGATCATAATTAGCGGTTGAACACAATTTGCGATCGTAATGATTACATTTTCTATGTCACTCAGATTTGTGCAGCCATTTGCACCCGCTTTGCTCATCAGAAAAGCTAACAGGCTCACTTTAAATTGCGCCTCAATTCGGGCGTTTTTTCCAAGTGTATTACTCCTTCAGAGAAGAAGTCTCGACATCGAGGCATTTGCCAGCCTATCAAGCAATATTTAATTTCTCCCGAATGTGTGCTATTCAAAATACTTCATACATGAAGTTGGTCACGTTTCAGACCCTATATTATCAGGCTGTATTACATTGGCGGTTCACTGGATCATCCCTTTGATGTCAGCAACATCATAATACCATCTTTCCATAAGAAAAGTTTGCCTTTGCAGTTGGCTTTGCCCGTCATGAAATCGAACGTTGTTCACTATTATAGTTCAAAAGTACTCGGCTTTTGACAGCGGCTACTATATTTTCCAAAAACTCTTGTGATGTAGCCAAATCCTGAGAAACTCTTACGCCTTATTCCTTTTGTCTTGTCGCACTGACGCGTTCGCTAAGATGCACGTCTCGAGAATACTGCGCGATGCCAAGATCGTACAGATACTCATAACTATTTAATGAACTTCTCCCTATGCTGTAGTCCGCTTACGGCCGGTTAAACTGGTCTTTTTTTCTTGTAGAAACTCTTGATACTAAACGTCCAATGATGGATTGCTCCATTTAAGAGTTTTAAGCCCAGAAACTTTCCGAAACTATACCCATTTACTGACCCACTTGAGTTCTTTCACGCGGCCTAGGTTCAAAGTATTTTGAAGTTGCTTTCTAATGATGCGAGCAAATTGTCGCTGGCTCAGGCTGGTAACAACAGTTTTGCGATTTTTTCATTCAGACCATAACCTGAAAGGAAATGTTACTCTTCAATGTCCCATTTCAGAAGAAACAAAGTAATGAATCAGTTTGCATTGAAAGCCCAGATCATGAGTCAGTTGAAAACTGGAGAGGAAGATGGTGAGCAGTTGGAGAAGCCAACTCGTTCTTTGGTACGTCATTCAGTTCATCATCCAACCATGCTGTTTTTGACAATGGCGTCCATTATTAATTTCAGAAAATTAAAGACGGCTACAGTTCGGATGAGTCAGATGGTGAAGAAGATGATCGCAACGACGAGGATGGAGCATCCAAGAAGAAAGACGGTGTTTCTAAGAAGAAGAAAGCACACGAGAAACCGAAGAAGGATAAACGTCAGCGAGTAGAAAACGGTGACGAAATTGCAAGTGGGTGACGATTACATAAGAAGTGGGGAGGAATCGAGGAAAAGTACAAGTTTTGTGTTTAGAATATGAATCCTCTGACGGTGAAGATGAAGGCAGAGAATATGATTACATGTCGGATAGCGGTTCAGATTCAGAGTGAGTTCATTTCCACGTTTCTGTGGTTCCCCTGGTTAGCTTTTTTTGGTGATCACTCTGGTTTTTTTTTTTGCGCGCGGGCTTGTGTTCACATTTTTGCTTTCTTGTATCTTCTCTGGCAAGTTTCTAGTCTTAGCAATATCATACTCGCCCTTATGTTCTCGTAGGATACGGGTCTTTCCATTCTGAAATTATCGGCTTTCTCACTTCTCACTCTGCAGTGGCAACAAGAGCTTGATATCGGTATGCATTCAGTGGACACTTACAAAATGAGCTCAATTTATTGATAACTCCATGATAATCGTTTCCATATTAGACATCTCTTTAAATCATCAATTTCTATATCGAAATATTTCTCAACAAGTACATGAGGAAGTGATTGGTCACGAAAATACGTCCTATTTTGATTTATTTCTATTTTATTTCTTCGAGTAACCTTGAAAACCACCGTCTCTACCCGTCTAGATTGCGCCGCAGACAGCATATGCCTAATAACGAATAGTGCTAGTGAGAGAAATGTTATTTGTTCATCAACGAGATCTCCAGTCGTTGCTCTCCAGCGTTTTCTTTCTTGCTCTCATGCTCTCTCAAGTTAGTTTTGTCAGAAAGATGGCGTTTATCACCGAAGTACTCGCACTGGAAGTTCCCAGCAGCGCTGACAATTTTACCTGAAACATTTTATGTTCACTTTTCTTTCGATTTCTTTTGTGCCCAAAGATATGAGAAACCACGATGCCTAACATTGTGTTATTTCACTCAAGGTCCACCTATAGTACTATTGAATATTTCCTGTTTTGGTGCAGGAAACCAGGTCACAGTAACCGTGGTTGACTGATAACCTTGTTACCCTTTTATTTCACAATTTATGAGGTCGCTAAATGCTTACCTATAGTGCATTGTCCAACGTAATTCCACGACCCGCAGAGCGCCACATGGCAAGCAGCTATCGGACTGCCATGAGATATGAACAAAATGTTACCTGAATGATGCAACTTCTATTTCCAAGAAAAAATAGTCAATTCTCTGTGTTACACAATGTTAATTTCTTAGTGCAAGTTAACTACGCTCTTGAAGTAAGGTCAGTTATAAGAAGAAAATTAGCCAAGGCACAATATTTACCAAGTCGTGCCTCGGTTTATCTTAGGAAATTGGATCTTACTCTCGTCTTCTTTGGAATCGACCATTAATACTCCGTTCATTTATAAGGAACATCCCACGTATTCAGCTTGAGATTGTTATTCTGCTGCTAACGCGTTCTGCTTTTGTAATTTACTTTGCAGTTCTGTGAAAAAAGTATGGGCGTTTTCATTGATACGGCAACTTTTACTTTGCTCTTTTCTCCTCAGTGGTGCAGAAAAAAAAAACAGATGTGAAAGACGATTGGTGACCTAATTACAAGAGTTGGTATACGTGGATTTGAGTTACAGTAACACCCGCTTTCACAAATGCTTTTCTTTCCAAAATTTCTTGCATGAGGTGAGTGAGACTTTCGGTGCATTAGCTCGATTGTTAACGTAGAATGGGAATTTTTCAACTTTTTATCTAGCTTTTCTTTTACCTTTTCAATCGTGAACGGTCATGATAACTTTAAAGACTCAGCAGTTACATGGGAAACACTGTTAGGGAGATGCCCTTGTCTCTTTGATATTACCTCAAAGTGAGTGGATGGATGGGGTTCAATGGTACCTTTTGCGACCAGCGGTGCTCTAAGAAAATCAAAAGAAAATAGCTCAGAACAGTGGTGGGGTCTGTGACGTGTGCTGGCTGGCAAGCAAGAATCATGAGCAACATAACACAGCAAAAATTAGCATATTGTGATGAGTCTGCGGTTAGACGCGAGTGGATTGATTCACAAAAAAGACATCAAGACGGCCATCCAAACAGCCTTGCTCTAACTCGAGATGGGAACAGCGCCCGTCATGATAGTACTATGTAAGGGAATCCTTCAAAAATGGTCATACGTTTCTGTCTTTTCATAAAGCGAACTGGTCGCGCAAAGACAATGAATCATGGAGGCTGTAGTTTGCAAGCGAGTTTTGGGTTCATATGGCAGTAGTATTTTTCACAGGGATGCTATTTGCCACGCCTTCATTACCATCCTTTTTTCACTCATTCATCTCTCAGCGTAACACCTCCTAAGGTTTTTCTTTCGCAAATTCGAAACTTTAACTCCACTTAATATATGCTTACCCGTGGGATACTTAGCAAGAATATTCCTTAATGTCACAGCGACTCGTGGAATGCAACCCTCATCTCCGCCATGTTCCGGTGGCAGTGTAGTGTACACTGGTTCATAGGTGTCGTTCACTTTTGGATTGATTTTCCTGAAAAAAAAGATCAAGAGAGAAAATTCTTGAATCATAGCAAAAACGCCATTTTTCAGTATCTCTGATTCCAAAAGACGTGGCCATCATGGTATGGCTATATGTCGTTTTCCCCTCAATCAACGGCAAAACTGACAGTAATATGCCACATTCACTCGAATCACTGCAAAAATGTCCTTACACTTTTCCTTTTCCGGTTTCCTTAGCCTAACGTTGGGTTCATTCGATTGACGTGCGACTAATTCTCGCCAGCACCCACAGTCAGTTCAGAAACGGACTAGACTATTTGACTTTGATAGGATTTCGGGTGGATAGTGTAGAGATTAGGTTGGCGCGTTTATCTAATCGCGCATGTGCTAAAGCATGGAAGGCAAACTAAATGACCTCCTGGAGAATGTTGAAGAGAAAAACATAATAGCACAAAAGAAAGGACCTCAAAAATCTGTAACCGTTGAATTTTTCTTTGCGTGAATTTGAAAACTTAAATCCTCTCCTTTTGAACTGTAATTTTTTGGATTCAGAAAATCTGTTTAGCAGAGTGCATAGAATCTCTGCGTGATGTGGTTTGGCCAGAGGTCTGCTATGCTATCGCTATATGCTCTGAAAATGTTCCCTATTTCGAACTTCAACACTACCACATTGAAAATTTGGAAACCTATTATCTTTACGAACCCACTTGATCTGTTCCATTGTTGGTCGTCCTGGAGGTGACATACATGCGTTGAGCGACTCGCCCATACCAGGTTCAATGCAGAGATGTGGGGGATCCTTCCGTAATGACAGGATTTCGGTAGCTGTCTCCACACATCGGGTGAATGGCGAACAAATGACGTGATCTATAGGTTCTTCCATAAGGGCAACACCAACTTCTCGAGCTTGTTGATGCCCTCTCGCACTGAAATTTAATTGCTCAATTCCTGAGCTCATTTTTCAAAAAAAAAAAATAAGACTTTAGGAAGTAGCGAGCACGTATAAGTGACTATCGATTTTGTATGGAGGCCCAAATAATGTGTTCAATAGAAAAGCTTGGACTGACTAGTCTAGACCAGCATTCTGTAGTACTAAAGTCACAGTTTCCATAGAGGTGATAAGAGAAGTTTAGTCTCTTTCTATAACGAATGGGCTCAGGTTACATAAATATTAACGGAAATTACAGCATAAAAAGAGGAAATAGTAACGAAAGGTTGCGGAAGTACCTCAAGGGTGGATCATCCCATCGTTCGGCGGTCTTTTTCCACGTTTTGTCGACGTTATCCACTCGCTCGCCATGGCGCACGAACCAGAGGATCCGACTGGGTGTCTTCATAACTGAAAGTTCCACAAGTATTTTATTTCTGGTTGAGGAATTGAGCATTCACTCGAGTCAGTAGCTCTACATAAGGTCTAATAATATACGTGGGAATGACATAGATCTTGCAACTTTCAAAAGACTACGTGGACTGGAATTTATAGACTGCGTATAATTATTCTTCTGTCAATCGGGTAAAGACGTAATCTGTAGAGCGCTCTTTAGAGGTGTGGTCAAACCAGAACAACACGCGGAACAGGTTTCGGTGTAATGAATTCAAATCGATGATGAAGGACTGCATATCGCGTTCATTTGTCTCCTCATTTTCCAAGAAGTTTACTAGAGCATGAAAGAATGTTAAATTCAAAAAAATTAGAGGGACCTCTTTTTTTTCTTCTTCTCTCAATCATATTAGAGACACTGTAAGGTTAACAAAGTGTTACCGTACCTTATGAACACTTCGTTCTACTCTGAATTTGGTTGATTACCCAATAGGGGGTTCAACTTTCAATTGGGTGGTGAGGTAGAACACTATCGCTCCTTGGCACCCATCCATTCGCTCTAGCGTCTAAAATAAATCTTTCCGGTAAGATTAGTAGGGCGTTGTCGGAGCTCATTGTCTGGCAGCGTGAGCCCTAATCGGAACCCCTCCAAGACTGAGTTTTCTAGTCACGCCGGGAACGTACAATGATATTATGATGGCAAGCATTTCATGTATGGCTTTGACTTCCATGCTAATCGACTCATTATATAAGTCATGAAGGGCGAAGTTTAAATGGTTCAGTAATGTTTGAGCCCACTGAATGTTGCCATGTGAGTAGTTGCTCTAATAAGGGACTTAACAACATTTTTTCTAAGCCAATTTCTCCTCAATCACAATATCTACGGTGAAGAGATGGAAGCAAATCCACTTTGTTTTTCGTTTCGTGTCTTTGAGCTTGATTTACATTCAGAACCGCTAACAGTTTCAAACTAAGTTCGCCCATAAAATGTAAAAAGTTGGACTTTTGCCAGAATTTTTTAATCTTTTTCAAAGTGGGCTTTCGAATCACCATCTTAATCATCTACACTTGTATGAGGGCATTAAAGTTGGATCAAGGAGTTTTAGTGGTTTTCTGGAATTCTGGAATTGGTTCTTCATCTGAAAAAAGAACTTCATCAGTGGTTAAAAAAGAAGAGTAAAATTCGATGTTCAGTGCGTTTTTTGAGGATTGACTGATGGGAATGCCTGTACGTTGAGATGATGATAAAGAAGACCAGAAAAAATTTCCGTCACGTCATAAACACTTAAAGCAGTTCGTCCTCAAGATCTTTGGCGGCGAGGCAAAAAATTTGATTTTAAAAAGAAACTTCAAAGGTGAAGTTTAGTTGCTCAAGATGAATGTAATATGCAGCCCAGAAGCTTGGATTATTCTTATCCAGGCGTCTTAACGCGCGTGATGGTGTAAATGGGGAGTGTGTTGCTATGAGAAGTTCATACGACTGAAAAATTGGCTCCAAACATCTAACCATGATATATCGCTTTACGTATTTTGCATTTTAATAGCAGTTGCTGTCCATCATATCAAATAGCAGTAGGATCGAAGAAGAAGAGAACAAAGGCAAACATAAATTCGACCGTGAAAAAGAACCATAAATAGTCTAGATGTGAAGTGAAAGATTGCAGTGGCTGTAGTGAAAAGAAGACGTCTGGGGGAATTTTCTTTTTTCTTGGCAGAAATGACTTGTTGCCAAAAGGGAGCCTTACTGAAAAGCGTATGCTTTCGTTGAAGCAGCGTTGATTGATTGAAAGGGTGTAACAGTCGAAGGACATCGTGTAGGCTTAACGGACGTAAAGGGTGAAAAAAGTTCAAAGAGGAAAACGTGTCACTCAGAAAGTTCAAGGAAAATTCTCGCTAAGAAAGGAAAAATCAATGGTTTCATGGGAGAAGTCCACAAAATGCACGTTTGTTGTCGGCTAAAGTGCAACCCACTTCCAGAGGGCAAGCTTTTCTTGATCGAAGTTGACTTGAACTAAGTAATCTAAAATGTTGTAAAATAGTTCTACAATCAAACCTAGGCAGTATGAAATTATCGATATGAAGCATAGAGGCCAGGGAAACTTCAAATGGGCAAGAAGCAAGACATAACAGCTGTTCCATGTAAAAACACATGACGATCGACCTACGTCATCGTGTGGGGTGTTGTGAAGCAAAAAAGACTTTGACCGATAGAAAAAAAAGTTTTGAACTAAAATTTTCGGCAGTCGAATGCACTTCTGAAATATTTTAATGGCAAAAGGGAAGTAAAGTGGGTAAGTGCTCGGGTAGGCGTATTTACTGGGTATCAGCAAATTTTCNTGGAATTGCCGATGCTGTACTGGGATCGCGTTTGCAAACATAAGGAGACGTTGCAAAAAGGATGAATATCGATTAGACGGATACGATCTTTGAAGGCAATAGCAGTGCTCGGTGTATTCGGTTAACTACATTCTTTGAGAAGATGGTCAGCGACGGCTTCACAGCGCTTACACTGACGAAAGTAATGGGAAGGGTGAGAGAAACTCACTCAAACCCTCTTGATTGAGAGATGGTGCTTGCGCAGATGAGAGATATGGGGACGCACTGTTTGGATTGCTTCTTAGAGTGATCAAACGGAAATTTTCTGTGGTTTTTGAAGCTTTTCGTTTGACAGTTGAGATGTCTGCTTGGAGTTCTGTTTGCTCTTCTCCCTAGAAAAGTCTTGATATTTCCGGATGAATATTACCTAGGAATCCCAAAAATATTGGCGGATTCCTCGAGGTTCCGAAAATGGCTCTGACTTCAATGGGAAACGGTACCTATAAGTAAAGCTTCGGTTCTGCCTACTGCTTTGAATTTTGAAGTCAAGATAAAGTCAGGTAGAAATTTTGAAAGCCATAACTTGAAAAGTTTGTGGAATGTTGAGATTACAGGGCTTTCTGGCTGTAGAATTCCAATTTGCATCGAATAGATCTTTCACAGATACAACAATAGTCCATTGAGTGGAAAAGAATTGGCAGCTAATTGGATCAACTGAATGCTGATTCAATTAGTCGCCATTTCTGAGTGTTCGAAAAAATTGGCAATCAGGGGACAGAAGATGGGAGGAAACAGGGAAGAAAAGATGAGTGAAGTGGGAATGTTGTGCTTGGTTTCATGTTTTTAGACATAGTATTGATTAATGATCGCTGAAAACAACTTTTTTTTTTGGTTGTGCGATTCGATAGGAAATCAAAACAGATGTATGGAAAGCAGCAGTTTAGAGGATAAGAAATCGCAAGTGATGATCGAGACTGTGTCTGTAAAGTAATGGCTGTGAAAAGAAAAACCAAAAAAACAGTTTTCAAGAGAAAATCGGGGTGGCAGAATTCCGCTTGCTATCGACCGATGACGATTGACAGTGCACTTTGGGGTTGGGACTCACCGGTCCTGTCCTTGTTGATTTGCGTTATCGCACGTCTGATGGAGGTTCCTTATCGATCGGGGATCGAATGAATCTGTGACCGTAGAGATCAGATTCTTGGAAGTCATCCGAATGTGAAGGACACATTGTATCTGTAGAAGTTGGACAATAAAGGGTGAAGTCGTAGACGTTGTCTGTGATGCCCACATCAGCTTTTGCTCAGCAGCAAAGGCGTTCAGATTGCCTTCGGCCAAGGCTTCTATTGGTTTTGAGTCGGTTTTGAGTCGAAAGGAAACGTGAATTTGTGAGCAGCGTTAATCCAAGCCTTCTTCATGGATAGTCGTCATCGATAGTAGGTAGTCGTATTGAGGGCTGGATTCATTGCATAACTGAGTATTCTGACCTCTTTGAAGAGCAAGTTTGCAAGTTAAGCTACTGTCAATATAAGCTGTCTCTGTTGAGCTGCGACGGAACGATCGTGCCAACGACTTTTTCTGAGCGGAACGTCGCTATCTTTTCGCTTTCTTTTTTGCTTTGGGAAACTCTTAAGATTTTTATTTTGCTGCGTTTTGTCCTGATCCCTTTTCGAGTGAATGTGATTGAATCAAGGAGTATTTAAGCAGTTTGTGAGCAGAGCTATCGGATGTAATGTCATAACCGCTACAGCTATCGGCATAAATGGGAGAAAACTGATTGGTTCGTTACTTGAAACCTACATAGCATACAATCCCTAACCGATGCATCTAGGTGCAAGGAGTCGAAATATTAAAAGTTGCCTTGAACTAGATCAGGGCCGAGGCTGCTCATAAGGTGATTATGTTTGCGATCGTCGACTATGCTAATTTCGACCCATTCCATTCAAAGGCGGCGCAATGTGCACCCTTTTGCAATCAACAGACTTCATCGTAGGATTAGTTATCAATTATGTGGCCAGCCTGACGTTGCCATCAGCTTGCCCGATTGAGCCTAAATTTTACCCTCTTTAATCCGACATCAAGCGCAATAATTTTATTCGTTCCCAGCTTCTTCAAATCTCAGAGAATGATGAGTACCATAAAATTTGACTGACTAGTGACTGTCACTTCGCTACTAGGAACGTTCGGCAAGCCCCTCGGTTTGTCATAAAACGTAATAGGGGAGGTTGAATTAATATGATTTCTGTTGCTTTCGTTAGGTTCGCCCCTGCTATACACGAAATAAGGGTCGATGTGAAAGTCTTGAGACACAAATTCACAAGTAACGTCGTTTCTCTATGGGAATTTTTGCCACACTCTAGGTCTTTCTCAAACTTGCTACCAGTAATATTAAGATAGGTCCCCGAGAGTTTCCGTTGTAAACCATGTCGCGACCGGTAAACACGAGAGATCAACTTTGAGCAATCGTCTTCTACGGAAATGGCGCGGTTTCGGTGTTCGTTCCGCTTCCTCCAACATCAGCACTGCAGTCGCTGAGATTCGCCATGCTACCGTTAGTCGTCTATTCGTACGCCTTTGTTTTGGAAGTACGACCGTCGACGGTTATCTATGTCCGAATGATCAGTGGCTGCTGATGATGGTTGACTTCTCGGCACATCGGAAAACATGACAGTATTACGAGCAAGGAATTGGACAGAAGGGTTCTTGCCCGGTGATTTCGTACCAACTCCGTCACATGCGTGTCTCAGTCGGCCAGACACTCCTCTTCACCTCCATTCGCGAATATTTGGGGATGGGAGTTACAAGCTGGACCGTCCATGGCAATGAGGGGGTCGCGACTGCCTTCTAAAAAGAAAAGATTCTGTTGCGCCGCCTGGGTCACAACTGTACCGAGAAATGTCTTACTAATTTATGCTGACTCAGGACTCTAAAAAGTTAAACCTCGAGTTGCTCCTTCATGACCTAACTAGGCAGTCACGGCTACTATCTATAGCAGCCGCCTTCAGGGGCACGCTCATGCAGTTGAAGAAAAGCGACCGAGAGGCAGTTTCCGTTCATCTTCAGCATGGTAGCGCTCGGCTGCACGTCACGAAGACCACGCTATACAGGCTACCTCCTTAGACTCATAATCGCTCTCTTCTGGGAGAACCACAGTGGCCGACATGCTCCTCATTGGATGAAGGTCACTTATATATTATAGTAGCAATGGTAATTGTTTGATTTAATGTGAGAGAGAGTTCAAATGGAACTGTAAAAGAATTTGAGACAGGCGTTTTGTCTCAAGGTTTTTTCATCATTCAAATAATTAGTTCGCTTATAACTACTAGAGTTTATGACTTGCTGAACATGGGCCCCTTTGGAAAACTACCAGAAAGATGTTTGGTGGATGAAGTGCACATGCCTGCCACGCTGAATAAACACTGACCACCTTGATTGTGCTCAGTAACAACAATAACCTGTTTGCTCCACTCACAGTTTATCGGTCTGGCCAAGTACTCAGCCAAGTGATCATTTGGAAGGTTGCACCCAATGAAAGAAGGAAAATGATTGATCACGTGTAGAGGAAGACTATTCATCGAAGCTAAGTCATTAAATAATTAATATCGCCAGAACTCATTTTGGACCATCGCCGAATGCCCAACGAAGGACTCGTGTAGTACTTTTTTTCGACATGTCTAAATATAGTTCGGCGGACTACGGCTCCGCCCAAACAATCAGAATTGACGAGTGATTCAATTCCCAGCAGCTTGGAAATCTAGAAGGTCCGTGATGGCTCTGTCTGTGAGGTCTTTTGATGATGCAATTTCCAGTGGCATAAGATGGTTGAAAGAGGCAGCGTGGTACTGGCGCATCTGAAAGTTTCACCACTGGAATTTGTTTTATTTGCACCACAGCAACATATCTGCTGTTTGATTATTTTCTCACCCAGTATTCAAAAGTCATCTCTACGAGTTTCATGGGTTGAAAGAACACTTTGTTGTAGACGGGAAATCGTCCCTGGCGATGAGAAGATCGAAAGGCAGCTGGTTGGTGTTGGTGATGAAGTTGGACTAAAGAAGATGATCGAGTCAGACGAAGAGACGGATAGCGAGGAAGAAGACCTGAGTGAGTATATGTTGTTTCAGCTTTGTTTGTATATTCAATTCCCGACAGCTTGGTTTTTTGTCTTCTCTTCGTATTCGGTGCGAAATCTTCTCCATTGCCTTTTCTTCTTAGCAAATCTACATCACTATGCATAAATTTTCTTAATTTCAGCGAAGAAATTACTGAACTCGGAGAGCGAAAGAAAAAAAGAGCATCTGGATATTGAAGAAAGAGGTAGATTAGCTATTCTTGGCTTTGCAAATATTTCAGTTTATTTTCGTCGAATTGTTTTACTTTATTTGCGTTTTCAGATTCCTCTGGATCTGACACCGATGATCCAGATAAGGAGAAGATTGACTCAGTTGTTTTTATGCCGGTATGTTTTTTGTATTTATAAGCTCAATTTTCATTCTGAGATTACTTTCTGCTCAATGATTCTGCGAGGACTGTGCTTGGCTTCTTTGGCCTTTTGAGGTCGTGCAGTGGCAGACATACCATAATAGTGTCTCTGCCAGCTAGACCAATAAAATAGTTCCGTTGTTGAAAAAGGAAGGTGAACCTCCTTTTTGAACTGGGTGCATAAGGAGATTCGAATTTATGTCGTGCGCTCGGCTCTGGCTGAATGTGGATCCAATAGAACCAATTAATTCGAGCACCATAGCTTTTGCCAGAAATCGTGTGGATTTGGCCTTGTTTTGCCGTTCCTGTTTGGCTGCTTTTATAGCCCGTCGGCCGGCAAGCGAGCTAGCCAGCGCGCCGGCGAACTATGAAACAGCCTTTCTTCGCATGCTAGAGTTTATCCTTTGATCTCGAACTTTGCTTTTTTTGCCGTCGTGCTCAGAGATTGTGAGAGATGATTTATTGATGAGTCCGCAGATAACCTTAATAGGAGCATTTCAGAAGAAAGATGTCGTAAATAATGGAGAACCCAGTGGAAGCGGAATGGGCAAAAAGCGGCCAGCAGAACCGGAGACTTCTGGAACTGACGGGGCCGATGACGCGAAGAGACCAAAACTGGAAGCGCCACTGTAAGGAGTTTCACTCTCAAATGAAATAAGTTGGCAAGTACCGTTTTATACTTTCAGAGTACAAGAGGGATTAAATGAGGAGACAGTTCGCAAATACCTGCGTCGTAAGCCTCACACAACGAAGGAGCTGCTTGCTAAGATAAAGCAGAAATGTGGTGATATGACGAAGGCGGAGATTGTGACAAAGCTGGCTGCCATATTGAAGGTGAGCGGTGGAATGTTCTTCGTCAGTGAGCTCCATTTTCTCCAAAATTTCCATTAAGGCTATCGAACCGCATCAATTCAAGCAGAAGCAGGGCAAGAAAGACGTGCTTTTCTTCTCGTTGACGAATACGTTGGCATAGTAGAGCCTTTCGCTGCTGAAGGGTTATGAAAATGCCCGCTGTCTTCTCTTCTGAAGTGTATAATTAATATAGGTTCTATTATGTCGTTCGGAAGGTAATTGTCAAAAATTTCGCCTAAGTACAGATTATTTCTGGAACGTTCTGCAAGATCCTTTGAAACTGCCATATGAGGATATTACCCTTTTGTATGCGCATAACATATCGACTGCTTGTTCCTCACTAATCTCTCTCCATAATGGCCGAACTGTCTAGCCATATTCGATACGTAGTCTTTACGGGATCGTATTTGGCCAATTCGCTAGTGAAACCTATCAAAACTTGGGTCATGTGTTTGGTCCAGAACCCCTTCTGAGCCATTCTGCATATCCCTTATTTGGGGGAAAGAAGGGGGTCGAAAATCATTCTCGATCTTGTTAATGTTGTGCGCATACGAGTGTAAGTGCCCTTTCAGTGTTTCTAGGCAATCTTCCGGAATACTCCGAAACCAAATCTGGATTCTGTGTAAATTTCAACGGATCTTTCAGAACACCCTAATATATTTAATAATATAGTTTGTCATTGTGAACTTGTTTACAAACTGTTACAGAATAAATTATGGGCACAACTGAACGCATGGAAGAAATTAAGTGACATAGGTGAAACTGCTCACATTCTTGGTCATATGTTCGGACATTACTCTGTCCATTCAAGACAGTGGTAAGGCTATACAAGGAGATAGCTGAGCATATTGTGTTGATCCTTAAAGGCAAAGTTCACGTTGAAAATGGCTTGTGGGATATCTCCCTAGGATAAATTTGTGGTCCCCTCGTATACCATATGTGGCGCTGTCAGGTTGGAAAACAGTTTAGGTAGGGCGTTATAAAAGCCTAAAGATTGCGCCGTGTGTATCCTTGGGCGAGTTACATCGGCACTGTAGAGGCTACACCAATCAGAAGTGAACCCATTTAGAAAGTTCAAACAACTTGTCTGGCCCACATAGCGACAGTGGTAGGCAGTTCTGTACAGTTTTGGCTCGATGTAGTCAGCTCTTTGCGCAATAGAAACTGATGAAGCTTAGTACAAATACCTCTTCCATGTTATTGCCGTCATGGTAATCTCGCCCAAGGATGGGAAGACTTATGTTGGAGGGCAGGATCGGACCCCGCCCACATGGGGCGGGCTTGTGCGAAATAAATGTTCGAGCGGAAAGTCATAACTTCTGACCCCGTGGACCTAAAGCGCTAAAACTTGGTTGGAGTACAGGCGACAGGATGGGAACACTTAGGGTGGGTGGCGGTTGCGGGACCGAACTCCGCGCACAGTGGATGGGGTTTGGGAGCAATTCATAACTCCTGGCCCTAGAGCGTTAAAATTTGGTAAGAGCGCAGGCGCCAGGATGAGAAACCTTGCGATGAGTTTCAGGGTCGGACTCCGTCCTCAGGGGGCGGGGTTTTTGCACAGAAATGTCAAAATGGACCTAGAGGGACTTAGTAGGAATACAGGAGGCAGGATGGGTACACTGATGATAGATTGCAGGACCAAACTCCGTCTCAAAGAGCAGGGCGTGAAATATACCGTTCGTTCGGACTCAGACCGTTGAAACATGAAGGCTCAAGGAGTTGGCTGGGGAAATTGATGGTAGCTAACATAGTAGACTCAACCGCGATGAAGTCTTTGATCACTTTTTTCTCTGAATAATCGCCTTTGTGATATTATACGGTGTTTCATTCGGACACAGCGAAGATGGCTTACAGAAAAAATCGCTCCCAATTTGGAGCTAATACTAAGGGTGTAGAGCTTNTTCAAAGAAAAAGGAGAATCCGAAGTGTTATTTACGCATAGCAAATTTCTCAAAGGAAGGAGGAGCGTCCGGGTAGCCGGGTGAACTCATAAGAAGGAGGGAAGACCGGCGTTAGCCGGGCGGCCCGACTGGTAAGTTTATAAGTCAATCTCGACTGCATGAGTCATTATCTAAAGAACTTTGTATTCGACTGTGCATTCAACCAATGTGAAACAAATGAATCTTCCATAAAAATCAGTTAGCCTGTCAAAATTGAAGCAAACACAGGAATACCAATTTCTGATGGTCGTTATTATAAAGCCTTAGAGCCTTCCATATTTCGATCGTACCATGGCGGTATGGAGCCTGAACTGGATCAGCAATAGAGCGGCTGGCAAACTTTTACCTCACTCCCATATGCTGACTACTCACTCTGAAGGAGGATCTGTTCCCACCTGAGTTGGTTTTGTGTAGCATAATAAATCGCCGATACCGCACCTGTCGTCCCACAGATCATCGATATCTTCGACGCCAATAACCCATTCGTCCCTGTCGCGAGCCAATTAGTCCAGTGGATGTTCTCGCTCGAGAGTTACGATACATAGCATTCCTATCGCGAAAAAGTCTGAACATCTCGCTGGGGGTCGTCTGACGTCCTAGGAAATCCACTCAGTAACTACCCTAGTCATGCGGTCACCACTATATCGCATAACGTGTCCGGCCCACCTGATCTTCGATTTCTTGGCGTAATTAACGGCATCCCTGCTTGCCGTTAGTTGGCGGAGCTCGGAATTCCAGATCCCTTCTGCACTTGCGTGTATAGGGAAGTTCCGAGCATCGTCCTTTCCACAGCGCATCGAATGACGCTGACTGGATGCCATCGTGCTTTCGTAGAGTCCAAATCTCTGAGGCGTGTGTCGAAGTAGAAAGGATCGCAGTGTCAAAAGGTGTGCATGGAGCCGGATGCCCTCTGTCTTCTTCACTACTCCCTCGATGTTTCCAAATGTTCCCCATGCCGCGCGTTTCCTCTGCTCACCTCCGGTGCCATGTCGTTCATCGTATTGACATCTCGGTCTACATAGTAATGTTTACTAAAGAATTTGGAGACGTTCGTAATTTTTAGCGTAAAAGGAGCATAGGTACCAACCCACCTCTCATGAACATCGCACTCGTTAGGTTCAGTCATGAGCCGATCTTTCCACAGGCGTTGTCGATTTCGACCAGCATTTGTTTCACCTGCTCCATGCTAGATGTTATAAACACACCGTCTGCAAAGCGGAGATGATGTAAGTAAGGACCGGCGACCTACACTCTCATGCCCTCCCATTCCGTATGGCACATAATGTTCTCGGAGCGGCAATGAAAAGTTCGGAGAGACGGTATCGTCCTGCAAACTCCTCTCCAAGTTGATGATTATTTCTCTACAGAATGGCGAGATTCTCGTCGTGAAGTTGTCGGAGTGCTCACAAAGCAGGCTTTGTATTGAGAGGGACCATCCTGGTTGCCCAGGGCTTCGAATACCGCTTCTGTCTTGACAGTGTCATAGTCCTCCTTCACAAACCTTCCTCGGACGTTAGAAGTATCAGCGTGATGTGTTCTCGCGATACTTTAGTGAGTCTTGTAACAGTGTGGATGTGGTCGATTGTACGGAGCCTTCTCCCAAACCCTGCTTGCTCGCATTGCTGTCCTTCATTTAATATAGAACTACCAATCCTGTTGAGGATAACGCATGTAAAAAGTTTGTGGATACAGATAGCGGGCAGCTTGGGCTATAATTGCCAATTTTGCCTGGGTCTCCCTTATTATACAGCAACACAGCCCTGCTACTTTTCTACGAAAAAGGCGCTTTGCGTAAACCCAAGTAACCCACAATCAGCCATCCATACTTCTCCAGCTCGGCCTGGGCTGACCTATAGAAGTATGGGCTTTGCAGTCTGAGATCGGGCGTTGTCATGGTTGAATTGGGTTTCCGCATGTGATTCACGAGTACGGTCGACGTGATCTTCCAATTTCCGCAGCTGGGTAACGTATGTGGAAGCGTCAATCGTTTGTCCCTTCTCCGGCAGCTCCCAGTGCTCAATGCCTCTTCTGGACCACCAACAGGACACGAGAAACTTATTGGGGTCGGCCTCTGGGATGGCTTCTGGCTGTTCTCCTTTGTCGACCCACTGCCGCTTCCTCAGAGGTTTATAGTAGAGGACCCTCTTCCATCTCCAATGATTACGAGTTCAGAAAGTGGAG